TTTACAGTTTTTTTTTTTTTTGTCCGGGGGAAGGGGGGGCTGGGTGTAGGGGGGTAGGGGGGAGAGTGGGGGGTGGGTGGTACAGAAAAAACGAAAAAAAACAGAAATTTAAAAATTGCAAAAACAAAAAAATAAGGTAAATTTTTTTTTTTGCGGGAAGGGGGGGGGGGAGGTTGGGGGTGGTGGGTGGGGTGGGGTGGGGTGGAGGGGTAGTAGGGTTGGTGGTAACAGAAAAACTGAACTTTAAAAAAAAAAGCTTTTTTTGGAGAGAGGAGGGGGAGGGTGCGTGGGTTGGTGAGGGTGGAAAATGTTGAGAAGGAGTTTTGGAAAATGTTTTCTCTTCTCTTGATAAGGAAAACATTTTCCTCCAATTGGAGAAAAATGAGTTGATAAGGAAAATATTTTCCAAAATATTTAAGCCAACTAAACATGAAAAAATTGAAAACATTTTCATGCCAAACACACCCTTAGTAACAAATAACACGTGAAATGTGGTCCCTACCTTATTATTTTAAGATTATAGAAGTAGCACGCCGCTCCACCCCACACCAAGCCTGCCTCACCAATCAAAGGCGGATCCAAAATTTGAGGCTTATGGGTTCCTACCGTAATTTCATATTAATATACAACAATAAATGGGATCACAGTCAGATATTTATCAATATTTAGTGAATTTTTTAATATAAATACAAGGTCTACGCAAGAGTTACTGGGTTCCCGGGAACCCGTAGCCTATGCACTAGGTCCGCCCCTGTCACCAATCAACCATTTATCTCGGTCAGTACACTTCAAATAATAGCCCGTTTGGCCAAGCTGCAAAAATAAGCTTATTTTGAGAAGTGCTTTTTTCCAAAAGTGCTTTTCTCAAAAGTTACTTTTGGTGAGAAGCAGTTTGTGTTTGGCTAATTAGTTTGAAAAGCACTTCTGAGCAGCAATTAGTGTTTGGCCAAGCTTTAAAAAACTACTTCTAAGTGTATTTTTCTCAAAAGTGCTTCTCAAAAAAGTGCTTTTGGAGAGAAGCTACTTTTTTCTGCTTCTCCAAAACTGCTTCTGCTTCTCCTCAAAAGTACTTTTTTTCCTCTCAAAAGCTTGGCCAAACACCTCAATTTTTTGCCAAAAGTACTTTTGGCCAAAAAAAAGCACTTTTGGCCAAAAAGAAGCTTGGCCAAACCGGCTATAAATATGTTTCACCTATTCACTCATTTGGATAAAGCTAATCACGCGATTACTCCAACTGTGATTCTTATAAATTTACCACCTTATCCATTCTGCTCAGTGGATAGATAAAGTGAAAATGTTAAAATTAGAGTCTTGTGATTCCAAGGCATTCAACGCTTCATTCATAAGTTCAATATTCAAAAAAGTTGAAATGACACGAATGAAATTGGCCAAGAGCCCGTTTGGCTTAGCTGATTTAAAGTAGCTGATAAGCATTAGATACTGAAAAACATTTTTAAGTACTGAAGCTGATTTAAAAAATAAGCAGTTACGTGTTTGGATAAAAGTATTGAAATTAATAATATGCAGCTAAAGAACTGGGTATACGAAGAGTTTTGTTTTAAAAAGAAGTATTTTAGGGATAGAATAGTAAATACTTTGGTCAAACTTAAACTGCTTATA